AGCCACGTCCTCCGGCAGTGGCTGCTGTGGCCAGGCTGGGGACAGGGGCTCGGGGTACTGTCGGCCCCAGGATGGCGTGTCCCCTTCCCGCTGGGGACGGAGGGGAGGCAAGGGCTGAGCGATCCCCCTGTGCCAGGGATACCTGCGCCCATGGGCAGTGCTCAGCCCTCTCCCCAGCCCATCCCCGCAGCCTCCTGCCCCCTCCTTGCTGGTGGGAGCTGGGGTTTGGGGATGCCAGCGAGCTCCCCCTCCCCTGCGTGCTCTGGTGACAGCTCTGCCGTGCCTGGGGCTGGTGCCCCTGGGGCGATGGTGCCCGTCCCTGTGTGTTCCGGCTCGACGGAGCTGTGTCTGCCGCCACTCAGATGGAATATTTATCCCTTCTGCTGGAGCTGCCTTTTAATAAAATATTCGCGCTGTGGCCTGGCGGTGCTGGGGAGGGCCAAGAGCGGGGATGTGGCCTCGCTCTGCCGCAGCACAGGTGGCTCGGGGAGGACGCGGTGCTTTCTGTGGGTCTGTCTGTCCCCGTGCAAAGGAACGGCCGTGTCACCATGTCCCCCATGGCAATGGGGGAGCAAGCAGGCCCCCAGGGAGCCCCGGTGGGGGCAAGGAGGGGTCGGGACTGCGGGTTGGGGACCCCCGGCGCCTCATCCAGGCTCCCCAGCATTGCACTGGCGCTTGCCGAGCCCCGAGGGGCTGCGGGGATGAAAATGTAGCTGAAGTGTCATGGCGCTGCCTCCGGAAGGGCCAGTGGGGTACTTAGCCTGGAGCCTTTGGAATCGAGAGTGCACTTAACAGCATTGACCGGCGTGAAGCCCAGTTAATTAGCGTTAATAAGTTTGTCATTATCGAACCTGTGCTGGGGCGAGAGTACCTGCCTCTTCCTGCTATTAATATTCATTGCTGGCATTAATGTGGAACCGCTGCTCCTGCTGGCCCTCCTCACCCTGCACTGGGCCGGACGAGCCTCCGACGTGACAGGAATCGCTGCAGCCACGTGCTCCAGCAGTGGCTGCTGTGGCCAGGCTGGGGACAGGGGCTCGGGGTACTGTCGGCCCCAGGATGGCGTGTCCCCTTCCCGCTGGGGACGGAGGGGAGGCAAGGGCTGAGCGATCCCCCTGTGCCAGGGATACCTGCGCCCATGGGCAGTGCTCAGCCCTCTCCCCAGCCCATCCCCGCAGCCTCCTGCCCCCTCCTTGCTGGTGGGAGCTGGGGTTTGGGGATGCCAGCGAGCTCCCCCTCCCCTGCGTGCTCTGGTGACAGCTCTGCCGTGCCTGGGGCTGGTGCCCCTGGGGCGATGGTGCCCGTCCCTGTGTGTTCCGGCTCGACGGAGCTGTGTCTGCCGCCACTCAGATGGAATATTTATCCCTTCTGCTGGAGCTGCCTTTTAATAAAATATTCGCGCTGTGGCCTGGCGGTGCTGGGGAGGGCCAAGAGCGGGGATGTGGCCTCGCTCTGCCGCAGCACAGGTGGCTCGGGGAGGACGCGGTGCTTTCTGTGGGTCTGTCTGTCCCCGTGCAAAGGAACGGCCGTGTCACCATGTCCCCCATGGCAATGGGGGAGCAAGCAGGCCCCCAGGGAGCCCCGGTGGGGGCAAGGAGGGGTCGGGACTGCGGGTTGGGGACCCCCGGCGCCTCATCCAGGCTCCCCAGCATTGCACTGGCGCTTGCCGAGCCCCGAGGGGCTGCGGGGATGAAAATGTAGCTGAAGTGTCATGGCGCTGCCTCCGGAAGGGCCAGTGGGGTACTTAGCCTGGAGCCTTTGGAATCGAGAGTGCACTTAACAGCATTGACCGGCGTGAAGCCCAGTTAATTAGCGTTAATAAGTTTGTCATTATCGAACCTGTGCTGGGGCGAGCGGCCAGCTGCGGGGGGGCGGCGGGGCCGGGGTCTGCTGAGCTGGCAGGGCGGCGGGCCGCCGCAAACGCCTTACGACGCTACCCCGGC